AGAACCTTTCAAACTCAAAAGATAAGACCGACAATTCTAGGACAACATTCACTGTCTTCTCTCATATTAATAAAGATTCAGAGCGCCTGTGAAACTAGTGAGCATTAAGGTTGGCAGTGATTCAAGGCCCATGTACTTCTACATCATGATAAATCTAAAACCAGTACCTGAGTTCAAACGGTCAGTTGTAGAATGATGAAAAAAAAAAAATCTGTGGGTGATTTTATAAATAAACTTATAAATTTCTGGTGACATGGCTGCCTAAGAACTCAAATGTGTTCTTAAAAAAAAAAAAGAAAAAGTGTATATATGGGCCTTTATAAATCACCTTATCAATTTCTGGTGACATGGCTGCCTAAGAACTCAAATGTGTTCTTAAAAAAAAAAAAAGAAAAAGTGTATATATGGGCCAGCAGGTGGCATAGTGGTTAAGGCACTGAACTCTCACATGGTCGACCATAGTTCAAGTGCTGGATATGATGGCTTGATAATCGCGCTGGGCACATGTGCCTGAAATCCCAGGAGGAGAATTGAGACAGGATTACGGTAAGGCCACACACACATACCCCCGAGGGGGTGATTTCTCATTTTCCCTCTCACTATCTCTCTCTGGCGGGTGCACTTGCCCTGTGACTAAACCCTTAAAATACATACACACACACACACACACACAATTTCTAGATATAGGGGAGGGCTGTGTGTGTGTGTGTGTGTGTGTGTGTGCATAAAAATGACTAAAATTTGGAAAATACAAAAAAGCACAAAGAAGAAACTGAGAGTTAGCCGTGATTGCCTGAGTCCATGCTGACTCCTGAGAGTGCTGTGGTGAGTTCCCCCCAGGCTCCCTCTCCCTGCTCCTAGTGAGGCATCTCGGGGCTCTGGGTGCAGTGTTCGTTCCTCTCCTGTGTGAGCTCCATCAGCACTACCCAGAGTCGGAAAGGCTTGCCGGCAGCATCACCAGCCCCTGGAAGCTTGCTAGGCATGTCCAGAACCACTGCCCAGACCTAGTGAAGCGAGTTTGGGTGTTGGGGACCAGGAATCTGTGCCATAACAAGGCTCCTTGGTGATTCAGAGGCACATGGGAGTTTGAGAAGTGCTAGTCTACACCAGTGCTGCCCAAAGTGTACTTGGTCATGTGAGCCACTACTAGACCGTGACAAGGTGACACAAAGACTGAGAGCCAGCCCTTAGGAATGTGTGTGTGTCTGTGTGCACACACACATATATTTTATTTTGCCAAAGGGTGTGTGCACTCCCCAGACAGGAATAGGGGAGAGAGCACCCCCTGTGTGGGGTGGTCATGCCATAATTCCTTCTCTATTTCTCTGCCTTGTCAGGAATTGGGGCATGCACGCCTATGTGCTTGGCATGGTTTTTTTTGTTTTGTTTTGTTTTGTTTTGTTTTGGAGAGATTTTCACTGTAGGGCGCGTGCGCTCGCCAGACAGACAGAGAGAGACATAGAGACAGAAAGCGAGAAATCACCCCCCAGGGGGGATGGTCACGCCGCAATCCCTTCTCCTCCATTCTCCTCTCGGGATCTTGGGCACGCACGCACACGTGCCCGGCGTGAATTTTAAGCCACCGGGTCCGGGACACAAACCGCGGTCGACTACGTGGGAGTCCAGCGACATAGCCATTACGCTAACTGCTGGTTCCCGGCATGCTTTTCAAGCCTCTGGGGCTGGCCAGGGGATCCAGCTGCAAAGCCAGCCAGTAAGATCCAACTCCCTTAACCACTTAGCTGACTCAGAAATGTTTATCTTAATCCAACATTGTGGTGACATCCAAGCATGGAGGCCTTTAAAAAAATTAGTTCGAGGGACCAGCAGGTGGTGTGGTGGTTAAGGTGTTGGACTCCCTTAAAATCAACCATGGTTGGAGTTTCGGACCCAGCAGCTTGAAAGTCACACTGGGCACACGTGCATATGTGCCCAAATTTTCAAGAAGAGACGGAATTGTGGCATGGCCATCTCCCCTGGGGTACTTTCTCGCTTTCCTGCTCACTGTCTCTGCTTGCTCTGGAGACACCCTCTGGCAAAAACTTTTAAAAAATTAATTCGATAGTATTTTTCAAATGCATCAGTCTGTAATTGACCCCTTTAAAAAAAAAGAGAGAGAAGGGGAAATTCATGGTAGTTGGTGCATGAGGGAAAAGATGGTAGCAAATGAGACTGCTTTCTTTATTTGAAAAGAATATCCAAGGCCCAGCCAGCCGGCGGCATGATGGTGGTGAAGGTGCTAGATTCCCACATGCCTGACTGCAGCCTGACTGCAGTTTGAGTCCCAGACCTGGCAGCTTGAAACTCACACCAGGTGTATGCACATGCATGTCCAAAATCCCAAAAGGAGAATGGAGGAGAAGGTACTGTAGCGTGGGCATCCCCCCTGGGGGAGGTGATTTCTCACTTTCCCCCTCTATCTCTGTCTCTCTTTAGCAAGCACACATGCCCTGTAGAAAAAAAAAAAAAAAAAAAAAAAACTTTTAAAAAAGAAAGAAAAAAACATTAATAAACAAAAAGTGGTCCTTGGGACCAGCAGATGGCATAATGATTACGCCACCGGATTCCCACATAGTCAACCATGGTTCCAGTCTTGGACTCAGTGGCTTAAAACTCACGCTGGGCACATGTGCATGCATGCCCAAAATCCCAAGAGGTGAATGGAGGAGAAGGGATTGTGGCGTGGCCATGCCTCTGGGGATGATTTCTTGCTTTCTGTCTACCTTTCTCTGTCTCTCTGGTGAGCGCATATACTCTATAGCAAAAACCTCTCTTAAGAAGGAAAAACACTAATCCTTGACCACAGGTAGTTTGAGAAGCATTAGTCTAAACCATCTGTGTCTCTTTTTAGACAAAACTTCTTTTCTCAAAGAGGAACCTGCTACAACGGCAGCCACTTGCAATAGCTAGTGCTTGTTTTGCTAGAAGAGAGAAAATTTAATTTAGCATGGAGGGATATGCATGAGCTAGATTTTGGTCTTTAAGAACAAAGGGAGCCACTGAAGGATTTTTTTAAGCAAGGAAATGGCGTGACCAAACTTGTTTTCTGTAGGGAGTGGACAAGACTAGGTATAGGACAGTAAGCTGGGAGGCATTTGCAGGCTTCCAGACAAAGATCATGGTAGCTTAGGGGCAGCGTTGGTGGAGATGAAGAAAAGTGGGGAAATTCAAGAGATTGGTCTTCATTTTTGTTGAAAGAGAAACTTCTGAAGGCAGACATATGTCAGGAGGTGAGGGAGAGAATGAGTTTATACTATGGTTTGGCTTTATGTCCTGTATATGTTAATACTTAGATTTTTTCATAATAATCTGGCTTGTGTGGTATTTAGTTATTTAAATAAAAGGACAGGTTCAGCCACAGTGGCTCATGCTGCTAAAACACTGTTACTTGGAGACCGAGGCCACGTGGAAGTCCAGTTCGGTTCTAGCCCAGCCTAAACAGGCTGGGTGTGGTGGCAACTTGTGTTCCTAGTGAACTGGGAGGCTGAGGCAGGAAGACCCGACATGACAAGACCCTGTCAAAAATAAATCTCCTACACATATATATTAAATATAAAGGCATACAAAAATCTCTCAAACACACACACACACACACACAGACACACGAATAAATAAACTTTAAAAAATTAAAATAACTGAAAGGATAGGTAACTGATTGCAAAGCTTGTATTTGCTCACAGTCTGCTCACTGCCTGTCTTCACTCAGCCAGCACCCAGTAATCCAGGAGCTTGGCAGTAAGGGGGCGGGAGGGTGAACTCTGTGCCTTCTCCCTCTTACCATGAACCCCTAAACAGCATGCTTCCAATCTTAATTTACTGAAGGAAACCTGGCTACTGGCCCTTCATCCCGGATTTTTACAGCCTGAGAACACAATTTTAATTATATTTTCATAACAAAAATATCAATCTGAATATTTAGGAGTTTATTGAAAATGAGTTTGCCAGAACTACACAAGTGTAAAACAAATTAATTAAAATGTTTAATACTGTTTATTATGTGTGAATGTGCTTACTTATATCACAGCTCATTTCTGATATTAAATTAATGTAAGGAAGAGCCTACTTAGTTCCTAGCATGGTTCATGCGGGATTCTTGGGCTCTGGACTTAATTGACCAGTGATGTTTCTTATAAAATTGGCGAGTCTAACCTCAGATTTCCTCCTTTTTATTTTATTGAGTAAGAATCTAAAACTGGATGAGGAATTTTTTTTTTTTTTGAGAGAGATTTTTGCTATATGGTGCATATGCTTGCCAGAGAGTTAGAGAGACAGAGACAGAAAGTAAGAAATCACCCCCCAGGTGGGATGGCCACACCACAGTCCCTTCTCCTCTGTTCTCCTCGTGGGATTTTGGTCACGTACTCATATGTTCTCTGCATGAATTTAAGCCACTGGGTCTAGGACTTGAATTGTGGTCGACTACATGGGAATACAGCGATGTAATTACACCATCTGCTGGTCCCAAGTCAGGAATTTTTATACCTATGTATCACCATCAGTTCCAAAAAATAACATCAAAGGTCAAGAAAAGATTCTGTATTTTCTTCATTTATTTTTTTAGAAGCCAGATCTACTGAGTCATAATTTGCACATGAGAGAAGGCATCCATTTTAAGTGAGACAAGCAGTAGGAAGGACAGAATCTAAGATTATAGAAGAGCTATTAAAATGGAAATGAAATACATTTTTGAAAAACTCTTGTGACTTTATTTTTCACTTTTTTTTTTTATCATGGATTGGTGAAAATGTGATCCAGGGCTTAGTCCATCTGCAGGTAGAATTTAGGCTCCACCCTTATAGAAGTGGCTGTAAAGGGAACTGGTCTCAATACAGAGGAAATGTAGAGGCAGCCAATAAGGATCCCCTCCCAGCCAGAGACCAGGAAGTGGGAGATAAGGTCTCCAGCAGAGACAGGTGTGGCTGTGGAGTTGGGAGGGGTGACATCCCTCGTCCCTCATGACCACCTGTCAACCCACTTTGTTGTCTGTTTCTCACATTTAGCCTATCAGCTCATCACTGTGGTAATTGCAGCAGCAGGAGGTGGGCTTCTGCTCATCCTCGGCATTGCACTGATTGTTACCTGTTGCAGGTAAGTAATGAGAGTTCCAATTCTGACCCTGTTTCTTTCCCTGTGTACTCTTAAAAAAATACTTTATAATATTAAATTATAATGTGTCAATAAGCCATTATGGAAATAAAAGGGAGAAAAGGAATTCCTTGATAGTTGGTGCCCATGGGGTAAGGGGAGGGAAGTGTAGTCAATTCACCCTCCGTATCTGTAAGTTCTGGATCCACAGATTCAACCAAGAACAGGAAAATGTTACCTTGTTATGACATGTCCTTTGTAGTTATATCTGTACTGAACACATATAGACTTTTTCACTTGTTATTATTCCATAAATAATTCAGTATAACAACTATTTTCATAGCTATTACATTATATTAATTATTGTAAGTAATCTAGAGATGATTTAAAGTATAGGGGAGGATGTGCCTTAATTATATGCAAATACCAGGCCATTTTGCATAAGGACTTGAGCATCTGCAGATTTTGACATGCAAAGTGGTCTGAAACCCATCTGGTTACTAAGGACAATTGTAAATGGAATTTTATTTTCTTTATTAAAGAAAAACCCAAAAACAGAAGTAGCAAAAGAAAAAAAAAGATAAATTGGGCTTTATCAAATTTTAAAATGTTTATATTCCAAAGAATACTATCAAGAAAGTGAAGGGACCAGTAGTCAGCGTAATGGCTATGTCACTGAACTCCCATGTAGTCGACTGCGGTTCGAGTCCCAGACTCAGTGGCTTAAACTTACACTGGATGCGTGTGCCCAAGATCCCCAGAGGAAAATGAAGGAGAAGGGATTGCGGTGTGGCCATCCCCCCTGGGGAGTGATTTCTCGCTTTCTACCTCTCTGTCTCTCTTTGTCTTTCTGGCACATGCGCCTTATAGCAAAAAAACAAACAAACAACAAAACCCCCCCCCCCCAGAAAAAAGAAAGTGAAAAGACAGACCACAGAATGAGAGAAAATATTTACAAATCATGTCTAATAAGGGACTTGTGCATAGAATATAGGAAAAAAAAAAACATGCTTAGAACTCAATAATAAAGAGGTAACCCAAATTTAAAATGTGCAAAAGACTTCAACAGACACTTCTCCAAAGAAGATACACAATTGCCTAGTAAGCACATGAAAAGACACTACACTTTAGTCATCAGGAAAATGCAAATGAAAACCACTTCATATGCAAATCATACCACTTCATACTCCCTAGGATGGCTACTAAGAAATATAAAAACAGGGACCAGTAGCTGACTTAATGGGTATGTCGCTGGACTCCCACGTAGTCAACTGCGATTCGCGTCCTGGACCTGGTGGCTTGAACTCAAGCTGGGCGCGTGTGCGTGCGTGCCCAAGATCCCGAGAGGAGAATGGAGTAGAAGGGATTGTGGCGTGGCCATCCCCCCTGGGGGGTGATTTCTCGCTTTCTGTCTCTTTGTCTCTCTCTGTCTGTCTGGTGAGCGCATGCACCCTATAGCAAAAACCTCTCCAAAAAAAAAGAAATATAAAAGCAAAACAAAAAACAAGCAAACAAACAAAAAACAGAAAATAACAAGTGTTGGTGAGGATATAGAAAAATCAAAACTCTAACACATTACTCGTGGACATATAAAATAGTGTAGCCACTTCAAAAAGTCTGAAAATATGTGAGAGTCAACCAGAAAATATACCACTAACTCCAAACAGATATATATCTAAACACTCTTACGAGTACTTTAGATTCCAGCGAATAACATGCTTAAAACTGAAACTTCTCACAATTATTGTTGTGCTCTTTAGTCGTTACTAAATTATGAATAAATCATTATTGAAAATTTTAAGAAAGTCTGAAAGTTAAAAATGCACACTTATCATCTGACCCAGCACTTTTACTCTCTAAGCTACATACCTAGGGAAAATGAAAACATTTCCATAAAAAAAGCTTGCACATGAACATTCATGGCAATTGACCCATAATAGCCGAAGGTGAAAACAGTCCCAGTGTCTTATCAACTAATGAATGGACAAACTGTGATATATCCATATATCCATATAATGGAATGGTATTCAGCCATAAAAAGGAATGAAGTACTGACACACGCTGTAACCTGATGAACCTTGAAACTATTATGCTCAATGGAAGAAAGCAGACACAAAAGACCACCTCGTGTGTGATGTCATTATATGAATTGTCAAAACTAGCAAATCTAATAGAGACAGAAGGTAGACTAGTGGTTGCCTAGGGTTGGGCTAGTGGAGTAGGGAAAAGGGGGGAAATTGAGGAGTGATGAGTAGGGCCATGAGGTTTCTTTCTTGGGTGCTAAAACTGTTCTTGTGTTGATTGTGGTGGTGGTTGAACAATTCCAAATACGCTAACCATCATTAAATGGGAGAACTGTATGGTCTGTGAATTCTCTCTCAGTAAAGCTATAGATACATAGACACAAAGAAAGAAACCAAGAACGGTGATAGGGTTACTGAGGTTGCAGTGCAGTGTGAGATGAGTGGTGAACCTTGTTCTAGGCTCGCCGAGGCAGTGGGATTGGCTTTCTATTGGAAGAGGACAAGCTAGAACTGATCTTATAATTACTGAGATAAGAGAAAATGACACCCTTTGATTGAGATGATAATAAATTTATTAGGTCATGGGGCAAAGTCATGATGTACTTTTCTATGTAAAAATGCTCTATGACTTTCCTGATGACCCAGTAGATAAACTTAGATGATATAAATAGCAAGACTTAATGACATAAATACCTAGACATAATGGAGGGCACCTACCAAAACAGGTCATTGTCTTGTCTGCAATTGACATGAAGGACGTTTGGAGGTATTCTCTATCTCCAATAAGGCCACAGAGAGGCCATTCAAGAATGCGGCCCTTACTGTATAGCCTTTGCCTGTCATTTACCAGATTGTCAGGGCTAAGCCATGTGAGTGGAAACAGACTTCTGTAGATGAGACGAGGAGCAGTTGTCTAGGGGGACAAAACTCCAGCACTCAAGGCAATGTAAGCCTCACACTTGCTGCGTGTTCTGTACTATGTGGTGTTCCCGTTCAGGGAAGTGCCCGTGAGTGTTGGTGACTGAGGAGGAGTGACAGTTATGAATGAGTAAGTCATTGTTTGAGACCAGACACCCCACCCAGGAGGGCAGGTCTGTTCGGAATTTACACGAAGGGCCAGTGCCTAAGCTGCATGCTGGACATTTGGTTTTATAACCTTGAGTGAGTCAGTGTGTGTCTTCCCAAGGCAAATATAATTTAAAATTTCAGACCTTAGTCCCATTAGGTAAGTAAGAAACACATATCCCAACAATATCCAGTCAGTGCGATCTCATAACAGCGTTTCTCTGGCCTGCTGGAACGAGAATATTCAGTGTGTTCTTTCACAAATAAACCATCTTGTTTTTGTGATTTGTGAAATAGCTTTGGATCGCCGACTTGAGGTGGGAGGCCTGGGTTTTAGTCCCAGCTTTGCTAGTAGCTGGGATAAGGCAGGACTCTTTGCTGAGTCAGCATTGCCTTCTTGATTCAGTAACCCTGGGTGAGACTAGACTCTTCCCCCATGAAGTCTGACGCGCAGGTAGGCTGGGGGCCTCAGGACCAGGTTCTAAGGGCCCTCTACTGGCATCCTATGAATTTTTGACTTTGGTTTCCCTGGCCACACTGAAGACATAGTGATCTCTGTTAAGAGTAAGTCCACTCCATTGCAACTGTCTTTGTCCTCTGCCTCTAATAACCTGGCTCCTTTGGATTGTAATATATTTTGCAGCTTTTTTGCACAAATAGAAAATAATAATAATACTAATTATACTTCTTAGAGGACAGCTGCCAAGAAACATAATGGCAGCTTCAGTCTAATTAAACTATAAAATACTAGTCGTTGCTTTGACAGATACCATTTCTTTTTAATTTTCTTTTATGATTATTACTATTTACACAGATACCATTTTTTTACAGAACTTATTCACTAACTTTTCATATATTTTTACCTCACAGAAAAAATAAAAATGACATAAGCAAACTTATCTTCAAAAGTGGAGATTTCCAAATGTCCCCTTATGCCGAGTACCCCAAGAACCCTCGTTCACAAGAATGGGGCCGAGAAGCTATTGAAATGCACGAGAATGGAAGTACCAAAAACCTTCTCCAGATGACGGATGTGTATTACTCGGTGTGTATTCCCGTGCCAGGGCAGCCCCTGGGCTCCCTTTCCTCTGAGAAGTAAAGGAACTCTGTTTTAGTGTACAGTAACGAAGGCATTACCGCTAGTAGAAGGGTTAAAGAGAATGGTGACATTCAGATTCAGTTTACTTACAGCCTATTTACACCGTACTGGTATTTCCATAAAGCGCATTACTATAGTGGAGTTGTAACAATAATGCCTATTGTTTCCAAGCTTACTTCTAAGTTACAGGAATGGAAACTGAAACATTGAGAAAGAATTGAGTGATATTTAGTCCTTGACCTTTTCATTTGTAATCTGGTGTCTGCCATGTGATTAGGTAGTTAAACCAAAAGGATTGAACACCAGTCAGTGGCGTGGTGGTTAAGGCAGTTGGATCACACATGGCTGACTGCACAGTTCAAGCCCCAGACTTGGCAGCTGGAAAAACACACCGGGCACATGTGCATGTGTGTCTGAAATTCCAAAAAGAAGGAAAAATAGAGGAGAAGGGATTTTGTGTGACTATTCCCCATGGGGCAGGGAGTACTTTCTGTTTTTTTTTTTTTTTTTTTTTAGTTTTTTTTTTTTTTTTTTTTTTTAGGACGCAAACTGCAGTCGACCATGTAGGAGTTCAGTGTCTTAACCACTACACCACCTGCTGGCCCGCTCCATGTGTTTTTAAAGCCACAGGTCCATGACTGGATCTGTGGTCTGCCCTGTGGCAGTCCAGCACCTTAACCACCATGTCACCTGCTGGTTCTGGGAGTACTTTCTTACCTTTCCCCTCTTTCTCTCTCTCTGTCTCTGGTGAGCATACACACCCGGCGACAAAATTTGAAATAATAACAAAGAGAGGATTGGCAAAAGGTGTAAAGAGAACAGGTCAATGTCATCATCAACAAGCACTTCTCAAAGGCTTAAAGGTGATACACTTAGTAAGTCTTTAACAACTGCCTAAGTCCAGCCCTTGGCTGCATCATTTGGTAAGGTAGGCAACTACCTTGAAGCCTATTTTTTTTCTGTCCCACATTGAACTTAACCCATGTCATATTCCTACACACTGCCCATTTCATTCCACGTAATACTGTGTCAGCCATAAAACAAACACGAGCACAGGTAGCTGAGCCGGAAACGAAACAGATGTTAGTCTGCTTCTCATGCCACGTGGAGCCATTCAGGGTATGGTAATAAACATGAAACCTTGCCCCGTGGGGACTTAATGGCACTAGATAGTCATGTTAACAGGAGTCATAATCTCTCTGGTTGCTATGGGAATTGACCATGAATGTTCAGACTGGATAGGAGAGTTTGTTCATGCTATGGAACTGTTTGCTCCCTTGGACTCTGAAAAACTTGAACTTGGAGGAAAAACAAGAACAAGGGGCAAGGGACCAGCAGTTGGTATAATGGCTATGTTGTTAGACTCCCATGTAGTCGACCACAGTTTGAGTCCTGGACCCAGTGGCTTAAACTCACGCCAGGCACATGTGCATGCGTGCCCAAGATCCTGAGAGGAGAATGGAGAAGAAGAGATTGCGGCGTGGCCATCCCCCCTGGGGGGTGATTTCTCGCTTTCTGTCTCTATGTCTCTCTCTTTCTGGCGAGCGCACACGCCTTATAGCAAAAACCTCTCAAAAAAAAAAAAGAAAAGAAAGAAAAAAGAATAAGGGGCAAGAAACGCAGACACAAATGTACTTCTCGTTAAAGTATTTTCACCGATATGTCTCATAGAGTTTTGCTTTTTCCTCTGTTTCTCAGCCAAGCCCTGTTCCCTTAATGAAACCATACAAAGCAGGCCTTGTACCCAGGTGAGGGATGTACACGTACGCCATCCTTTGCCAGGGACTCCTGAGCCCCAGCATGATACTGCAATAACAAGCAACAATAGCAACTAACAGGACCCAACTTCCCTGCATGTTTCCATGGTGTTAGGTGAAGAGTTGCCTAGATAGATACAGTCACAAACGTGAAGGGACCCCATCTTTGTCTCAGAAACAGCAGGCGGAGCATGTAGCAGCAGAGCCCGAGCTTACAGCATGCAGCTGTTCCTCACAGTGGGCTCAGGTGTGGCTTGGGTGCGTCCCACACTGGGCTCTTGCAGGAGCTATGTATGTTCTCTGCAGCAGCTAGTGTTTTATTCCTGCCAAGCACACGCACACACAAACTACTCCTTCTACTATGGGAGGCTCCTCAAAATAGCCCTGTTAGTCCTAGGAAGTTTTGATTTTGTCTGTTTGCCAGAGGGCATGTTCGCTCACCAGGGGGGTGAGGAGGAGAAAAAGCACCCCCTTGGAGTGTAGTCCTACTCCATTTCACCACACTGTCAGGATTTGAGGCGTGCATGCACATGCGCCCTGCATGTTTCTCTATCTAGTGGGGCCAGGGCTGGAACTGCAAGGTCGGTCCCCAGGGAGCTTGTATCGCAGGGCAGATAAGCAGTTCATGACCATGAAACTGGTATTTGGTCAGAGACACCTGAGAATCGCTGTTGTCACCTTGTTTGCAGTCCCAGCTTGCCTCCAATGAAGAGCTCATCTGACCTTGCAAAGGTCAGCCCCCCCTTCATGTCCATTGCCTTTTGTGCAGTTTCAAGGATGCTAGCTTCTGCTAAATGCCACAGAGGATTTAAAGCCAGTTTTGCTCCACAGAGAAAAATACTTTTAAAAAAATCATGATTCAGTAGAAGCACACCATACAAGATAAATCCAGGCTTTTTTCTACATTGGGCTGCCCTTGGTGTTTTCTTGGTTTTTGGGGTTTTTTTTAATCTTCTTTTTAAATAGGAGCAGACTCATTCTAGGCTTCATAAAGAGACCTGTGAGGGTCCTGAGTTCTGTGTCAGACCTTGCCATGCTATTTATAGCTGCTTCCATCTTACATTTATTAAAATGTAGCATTCCTTTTTGTTAATATTTAAACTCAAGAAGGATAAATTGACCTTTGTTCTTTTGTCTTTGACAACCAGCCCACAGGTGTAAGGAATCCTGAACTTGAACGAAACGGACTCTACCCAGCGTACACAGGGTTGCCGGGATCGCGTCATTCCTGTATTTTCCCTGGACAGTACAACCCATCTTTCATCAGTGATGAGAGCCGGAGAAGAGACTACTTTTAAGTCCAGGAAAGAGGGGCCTGCTGCTCTGAGCCAGTTAGCCAGGGCCTCTGTGGCTCAGAGGACTGCACCAGGAGGGAGCTTCACACACTGTCTGCTCCCAGGACTCGAGGGAGCCCCGCTTGGGAGGCAGGCAGTAAGGAGGACCGCGTGAGGGAGTAACCACATTAGAGGGTCAGGTAGATGTGGAACTGCAGGCTGCTCAGTGGGCACCTTTGTTGTCACGGTGAGCGTGAATGGGGGCCAGCACCATAAGAGCTCTCGGAGTGATCCCAGCGGGGCAAGGCACTGGAGAAGCTGTCCGCCAGGGCAGACCGCGAGGCATCCTCACAAGGACTCCGTGTCCTTTAGTTTGCACTTTAGTAAATTGGGTAGGGAGGTTTCCTTTTGGATTTGTTTCAAGACTTTCCAGAAAGAAGACTTCCTTCCTGAGCCACGTCCATGGACCGCAATTTGATGATTAACTTCCAGCAAAATATGGCTCATCCTTTCCCGCCCGGTGCCTGTGTGCTAGATAACAGATGATGGTGAACATACCACTGAGGTCTGAAAATGCTGCAGCTGAACACAGCCTATCAGTCTGTTTCTAGGCCATCCTATGCTACACTTTCCAAGCCAACCCCCAAAGTGAGGAATTGAAATTCGTGAGACAGCACACAACTCCGATTTGTTTTTTTCAAGGTGACACATTCAGTTAAAATGTTTATCTCCCTTGGCAATTAAATCTCACTTCTTCAGACAAGTCTGAATCAAGGCAACACAACTTGCGTTTGGTTTTACTTAGAGACATCCAGCCGCCCCGCAGTGAGGCGCACTGCAGGCAGGGGGCGCCTTTCCTTCACGAGGCCACTGCTTGTAGCCTAGTCACCCATGGTGAGGCCAGAGGCTGCTATGTATGGAGCAGAAATGGAAAGTCGGATGCAGGGTGGATCTGAGTCGGCATTTCGCCACTAGTGGAAAAGCGGTTTGTTGTGGTCCGTGCAGCCGAGTGTGGTTAGAGGAGTGGGCGGAACAGGCAGGTTCCATTTCCTGCACCACTGGCACTTTGTAAAGCCTGGTGGAGCCCTGAGGCAGAGCAGGGAGCGGGGATGGAGCCACAGGTGAGCCGGCTTCCCTGCCAGCGCAGCCTCCCTGTACCTGTGATCGTGTCTGTAAGCACAACCACTCGAAGCTCTTTTCTCATTGAATCCTGTCGTCCAGTCGTTTGTGTATCTATGCTGCTGTGTCGTGCCCTCCAGAAACACGGTTGTAACGCAAGTTGGCGGTGGAGAACTGAGGACTTCTGGCCAGTGAGGGCTCAGAGTTGGTCTTCGGGAAGGACGTTCTCACGTCGTTCTTATTTTGCCTGTGCGGTGGGCCTGTGAGGAGGAAGGCCTGTCGGCGCTCAGCGTCTTTAATGTCTACCTGTGGAACTGTGTCCATTCCTCTGCCTGTGGCACCTTCTGCTTTTGGAAGCAGTGAAGCGAATGCAGAGTGAGCAGCTGCCCTTGCCCTGAAGCAGGGAGCCCAGAGGCACACACGTTTCTGGAATGGTGCAGCTCGTGGGGGCAAAGCCGCCTTGGCACGGTTGTTTCTTCAGGGTTCTCTGAGCACTTCAGAACTTACGTGACCTGTGTGCATATGTAAGCCTCCCCCTAGCCGGGCTGAGAGGGAGCTCCTGTGTCCCATGGCCTCCTTTGCGCGCCGTCGACCCTGCCCTGCTGGAGCAGGGCCACCAATCAGTGCACGCCATTTTGGTAGTTAAATAGCACTCATTGCATGAGATAAATACAAAAAGAATTCTGTTTCTTGCCTGTGGATGCTAAGTTAAAATTTCAGAGCCTCATCTTTTGGAAGTCTTGGGTCTCATGTATCTCTCTGTGGCACCAAGCGGCCCTTTGTGCCTCGCAGTCTCCCTTGCCACCGGAGAGTGAGCACCGAGCTCCTGCACTCAGTCCCCTGAGCCGCTAGACTTGGATCCCTTAGGAGACGCCTAGCTTCGGCCCCTTGTGCACAGCCCTCCTCGTCCTCAGGACCTGTGGCCCTGCAGAGCCATGGAGGGAGCTGTCCCCAGGCGTATGTGTGTGCTGCCTGCAGCTGACATCACAGCTGACAGATCAGCTCCTGTATCAGGGCCAGGAGCTTTAAGTCCAGAAAATGAAGTGTTCTGTCCCAAAAGCATTCTTGGGAAGAATCCCAAAGTTCAGAAAAGAGTGAGTTCCAAAAATGCTTTCCTGCTGGTGGGTTTTGTCCATATGGAGTGGATTAAGAGTGGTTTACTTTGTCGTTGTTTTCTTTTTTCTGTGGAAAAAAGGAGGGGCCGGGGAGAGAGAGAGACACCCTGCAAGGCTGAGTATCTACAGTTTTCTGGAGGCTTGTGAGGGTGGCTGGAGAAAGCGTCTCCAGCGTGTGAAGTTCTGAGACGGCCTAAAAAGAGCATGCCTGGTGCCCAGTGCTGTCTGCCCACCCTGCCTGAGGAAGGGAGAGGCCCGTCCCGCTCCGTGGGCTTGGTACCTCCAGAAGGATCCTGCATAGGCCGAGGAGAAACAGCTGGTGGGGTGGCAGCAGCCCATGGACTGAAGACCAGGCCTGGACACGTACCTGCCATAATCTCAGCTCAGACACATGTGCTGAGCAGTTGGGCCTGAGCCTGGCATATGCCACTTACATGCCCAGAAATGCCATGGTCCCACCTTGGAATTCCATACCTGGGGGAAGGTCCAAGGAAGACCAGTGTGACACGGCTGCCCATGAGATGCATCCATGTCTGTGGAAAAGCCAGGCCACGTGGAACCCATGTGTCCATAGCATCCTGGGCCATCTTGCACTCAGGGCAGCAAGGTGCTTCCCAGCATCTGCGGTTTCGTTCAAGCTCCAGGGGGGTCTTATTTCCATGGTCTCTTCATTTTCACCCCTTCAGCCAGCCCAGCACCCAAGTCTGTTTCTTTAGGAGGATACACACACCTCTCAAGTGCCTACCTTGGCCAGGCTCCCAGCACAGCTCCCCAGCACCCTCGTGAGACGTACACTATAGACCCCTTCAAAGAAGACAACTACTTGCCAGGTAGAGACAAGATTCAAACTTCGGTCTGCCTGAGTCACCCTGTTGCTCTTTCCCCTCTGTTTTCCTGCCTCGTCATCCTGGCAGATGCCTCCCCAACCCATATACTTTAAATGTCAGGGGCCAGCAGGGGGAGTGATGGTTGGGGCACTGGACTCCCACATGGCCGACTGTGGTTCGGGTCCTGGACCTGGCAGCTTTCTCTCTCTCTCTCTTTCTCTCTTTCTGTCCCTCTCTCCCTCCCTTTTTCTCTCCCTCTCTCCCTCTCTCCCTCTCTCTCTCTCTCTCTTTCTCTCTCTCTTGTCAAAATGAAGAATAATGATAAATAAAATAAATTTTTTTTAATGTCAAAGAGGGCAAGGGAGAATGGGCTTAAAAAACAAAAAATTTTAAAAACCCTTATTGTAAAACAGTATCCAAACTAATAACATGAAGTGCAAACACTGAGGAATTAACTGCCCCTTGAAAACGCCCTTTCCGTGGATTTTGCATGTATTTCCTAGGTGCTCGTGGTCAGCGTTGAGGAAACAGGCTGGCTTGTGCTCAGTGAGAAGCACATTGGAAGGTGGCTTTGGCTGTAGGCGTGTCGAGTGATGACCTGGACTTTTGACAAGCAGGGCCAGGCTTATTCATCCATCTGCAGGCTGCCTTGCCTCGCTGGAAGGCCAGGCCTCCCACATATGGAAAACATACTTTCGCAAACCATTCTGAGAGTTGGAAACATAGCTGGATGTCTTAAATGCTGACAGATCTTCCTCCTCTGAGGGGAAGTTTATTTTCAGAAGCCACTAAGTCATTTAGAGCCAGAATTACTGAATAGGTGGTGCAGTTAGGCTGGCTGATTCTATTGGAGGTCAAAAACTAAGAGGTGACTATTGAGTTCTTGGAAAGGCAGCTCTGAAAGTCGGCCCAAGGGAGAGGGCAGCATCTCTGGGATGTGATGCCGGACACCCAAGAACAGCATTGGACAACGTCTGTTCAGGTGTGGACGATCCCAGAGCGGCACATTAGGGTCGCACCTCCCAGGTGCCTGCATTAAGCCATCTTGCTTACTGGTGACACGCCCACTGCCCTGTGGCTGTGTTCCACTTTGCCTGAAGCACTAGCCTGTTCAGTTCAGTTGCCCTTTGGCTAAGCTCAAGCGAACACACCGACACCAGGGTTCTAAAATATGATGATTTTGAGACTTGAAGCACTTGTTTGGGGAGAGAGAGAATGCAAAATTCCGTATTTTGTATTTTATTTAAAACTACCCTTAATATCAGAGATGTTTTTCCTATCTGAATGCTTTCGTGGGGATGAGAAGAGACATTTCCCTTTCTTGACAAAACATCATTCTGAGGTGTGTGCATATAGAAACAAGAAATGGTTTTGTAGTGTTTGCCCTTGGTTACGAGTTCTTTCCCTGCATCCCCAGAGAAGGAAGCTGGTGGAAGTAGTGGCAACACTAACAAATTGAATGCCGATTCATTTGTTGTACTGAAGTATGTTCAGTAGTGTCACATGCCAGCAGATCTGGTGTAAGCTGCTCACAGAAAAGCCTGTGAGGACAAAGGGGGACCAGTTAGGTCTAAAGAAAAAAAAAACAAAACAGGTCCTAGAATTGCTCTGTCTCCTGGCCATTTCAAAGAAGACATTTCACATAATTTGCATATTAGGTTCTGGTTTTATCTCTTTTTTGGAGGGGGAGGTTGCCAAATGAGCTTTGAGATAGAGTTCTTGGGTAAGAAGAATGGAACAGGACAGGGATGGGATGGAACCAGCCTGCCTGGGAAACTGATCCAGTTAGGTCTAAAGTCTGTATTATCTTGGCCTGTTCTAGAAGGAAATGGTTGTTCTCATGTGAGTCTCGTGAATGTTCGTGTTGCTGGGTTTATGGTTAAGTGAAGCATGTCGCTGGAATAACCGTGAGCTTTCACAGTGTCCTGGATTTCTCCTTGTAAACTTTTAAACCTTACCCCCTGGTTGATTGTGTTAAATCCATTAAGAGAATGTTATTTAAAGTTGTATTATAATTGCAACCTCCACTAATTATTCAGTGCTGTAGCAGCGAAGTATTATTTGTAAGAATTCGGTTATTTTTATACTTATATCCACTATAAGCCTGGCGTTCTAGTCAGTGACATGATGCAATAAAATTAATATCATTTTCATTGTTTCTTTTTCTCTTAATAATAAGCAAATCGGACAGCGTGCAATGGGATATGAGGTCATTGCGTAAACATTAGGACTGGACAGTGAACTACATGCTAGATGTGGGGACCAAGTCCTTTCGGTTCCTTGAGCGCCCAGCAGCACGGAAATAGACTTTTGATGATGGATGAGTGGATACATGAATGAATGGACCAACAGACTGACAGATGGGCAGATAGACATAAATAGTAAAAATCCTAACTCAGAACACCTGCTTTTGCTTCCTTTTTCTGTGAACTGGAGAGCATAAATAACCAATTCAGACAGTTTCCTCCCGAATGCCTCCCTCTACCCTTCCATGCCAACGTTTCACATCTTCAAGAAGGACAAGTAAGCATATTCGTTCGTGCTCTGGTGGAGAGAGTATAGAACTAACACAGCGGGCAGTGCAGGCTGCCCCCACGGGCTGGTGGTCATCCTACATACCCGTAAGTTTGGACTCTCTGGCCCTCTCCCCATTTGCTTCCTTCCCCGCCATTTTAACCTGTTCCTATGTATTCAGCTTTCTCGTCTAGATTCCACACGTGAGTGACATGAGGCATCCTGACATCACTGACTGGCTGTGTCTGGCTTATTCACTCAACATTGTGTCCTCCAGGTCCTTGTTGCTACAAATGGTCTTTTGAAGTGCTGAATGACACCCAGTGTGTGCCTGTGGGTGTGTATGCACTCATTTCTTTACCCATTCACCTGTCAGGGCACAGGTGGTTTCCTTGTGTTGGCTCTCGGGAACAGGGCGGCCCCCTGGAACTGCTCTGAACTGAAAATGGGAGGACCTCACGCTCTGCACGACACGCTGGTCCGAGTGCATATACTGCTCATGCCTCTGACCTGGCAATGCTGAGCCATTTGCCAGTAAGTAACGATCTAGAAAGTTTCTGTAGACTCGGGCTTAAGGACGTGGACGATACACGATGAGCCATTTCCCAGTTTCTCGGAAAGTAACAGAAGGCAAAGGGCACAATACAGGAATCCTACAGGACAGAGTTCTCCACTACTGGACTTTAAATAGCCTTGGCAGCTTAATTCCCAAACCTGGACTGTGCAACACGCTGGCACAGCCAGCAGGAACGCTAGGTCAGGCAGATAGGCGAGATATGCCAGGAATAACCATGCACATATTGGCTTTTATTGGCCCCATAAAAACGTGCCGCACCATCAGCTGGTACGAGACTGTCTCTACGAGTTTCGTGTCTGTTTTTCCCAGATGGTGACATCATGACATCTGCCCAGCTCTCTGCGCCTCAGTGCCCTGATTAGTGAAGTAGGGAGAATAATTACTGCCTGGCAGAGTTGTTGTGAGGATTAGCGGGAGAGAATTCATATAAAAACACCTCGTAGGAAGGAATGACACAGACCAGTTCTCTTCAATAAGGCCCTCCGGTCACCCAAAGAAGGAAAGACAACTGCAGAGTCAATATGTCATTTTGATGCTCATTCGCTAGTGATGGCCCCTGAGGACCTTGGACTTGTCCACACCTTGTCATTTCCCCTTCTCGCCTTCTCCAACCCGCTCCTCATATTGTGAAGGGACTGATAGTCTCAAAATCATCAACTCTGGAGGGCCAGGAGCTAATGCTGTCCTGTTAAGCATTAAATGCCACGGAAACAAAGAATGAGGGAGTAAATGGGCACATGAATCGCCCAACAAAATAAATCTATTAGAATGGAAGGTCCTGGAGGTGTCATCCTCCTAATAGCAGGCTGACAACTGGCCGGTGATGGATAAATACATGGCTGTGACATAAACAACAACAAGAACTCAGCAAGG